TTGGGATCTTTCAATTTATGGGATCTTGCCCATAGATTTCAGTATTGTATATACGGTAACAGCATTTCTCTTCCTTTCACAGCAATGGGCTTTCAAACTGCTAAATCATCTCCCCATGGCTATTTAACCTCTATATGAGGCTGCTGGGGGCGGTCATCTGGAGATTCAGAGTTTGTCACCAATATGTGGATGACATTAACTCCATCTCTCCTTTCACCCTTTCCCTCCCTTGAGTGCTGCCTAGCTGCTGTATTGGGGTGGATGGGGAAACAACAGACTGAGCTGAACCAGGACAAGACGCAGTTCCTTTGGGTGGGCACTCCTGCTGTCTGTGGATTGGGTGCTTCCCTCTCCTTTGTGGGGGGGGGCTACTCTCTCCGCCAAGAATGAGGTTTGCAGTTTGGGCATCCTTCTGGACACAGAACTGTTGTTGGACACCCAGATAGCATCTGTGGTACACTCTGCCTTTTGGCATATCAGGTGGATTGCTCTACTGCATCACTACCTTGACACCAGATCTCTTACCATGTTGGCCCAAGAACAGACTACTGCAATGCCCTCTATGTGGGGCTACCCATGAGACTGAAATAGAAACTTCAGCAGGTCCAGAATATGGCGGCCAGGTTAGTGATTTGAGCTAATAAATGCCAATATATTTAGCCAATCCTGGCTGCCTTGCATTAGTTGCCTGTTCATTTCCATGCCAGCTTCAAGGTGATGGTTTTAACCTCCAAATCCCTAAACAGTTTGGGTACTTGGCAGAATACCTGCTTCCAGCTGGGTATGCTTACTCTTCCTGTACATCCCAGGCAAAAAACAGGGAACCAGGACTTCATGGCAGTTGCTCCTCGGTTGTGGAAGAAACTACCTCCTCCCGCTATCCACTTGGCCCCTATGTTGGCCTTTAAGAAGACATTAGAAACCTGCTTGTTTTAGCAGGGTTTTCAAAAATTCCAAATGTGGAAATTGCTGAAGACTTTTAGCCTTTGATGTGATCCACTACCACCATGTTTAATGTCTTTTGTATTTGATAATGTAGTTTAAAATGTGCTGTTTTATGCTTACTCTTCCTGTACATCCCAGGCAGAAAACAGGGAACCAGGACTTCATGGCAGTAGCTCCTCGGTTGTGGAAGAAACTACCTCTTCCCGGCCACGAAAGCTAGAACAAGGCTAATGGAAAAGAAGACATTAGAAACCTGCTTGTTTTAGCAGGGTTTTCAAAAATTCCAAATGTGGAAATTGCTGAAGACTTTTAGCCTTTGATGTGATCCACTACCACCATGTTTAATGTCTTTTGTATTTGATAATGTAGTTTAAAATGTGCTGTTTATTTTATGTCTATTTTTGAATTTTTGCTATGTCTTATGGTGTTACTGTTTAATTTTTCTATTGTTAACTGTCCAGAGTGACCTTGAGCCAGAGCATAGGGATTCTGGGCTAGAACAAGGCTAATGGAATACTGTAGCTCCCTCAGTGTCCACAGAGGCATTTAGAATGGATTGATGCAAATCTTTCCTGCTTACTCAAACCTCAATTTGCTGGTTTTGCTACAAAAGATAAATTCAAAGGTTAAAAGACCACTATATCCATGAAATACTGGATGCCAATAGTATTCAATGCCCATGGAAGTTGCAGATGAATTGGTGAATAATTTGCTGGACAGTATTGCTAGGGAGAAGCTGAACTGTTTTTGATTAAGGCTATGCTTTCAACACTTCTATAGTGTTTTGTCAAAGTGTATTAGAACATGATGAAAGAGTAATTTGTTCTTTGTAAATCACACATTCCCCCCACAAACACTTTTCTTGAGCTATAGCTCTCAGAAATCTTATGCTACAGAAAGCTCTCATGGGGAGGTGTTACCATCTTCCTTTTCTGTCGGCAAATAGTGTGATCACACAAACATGGCATAAATTAGAGTGGTCTTAACCGACCAGATAGGCAGGATATAAATAAAATAAATAAATAATGCTTTAATTAGTGGAAAAATGATTAACTCTAATTTGTTGAATTTAACGTATTACCAAGTTCTGACCCATGACAATGGATGGAGAATGACTGCAGAAGTACTTTTCTTGAGCTATAGCTCTCAGAAATCTTATGCTACAGAAAGCTCTCATGGGGAGGTGTTTCCATCTTCCTTTTCTGACGGCAAATAAACATGGCATAAATTATGCTTTAATTATTAACTGTAATTTGTTGAATTTAACGTATTACCAAGTTCTGACCCATGACAATGGGTGGAGAATGACTGCAGAAGTGGGATTTTCACCCACCCACCCCGTCCTTTGTCTATCTAACAGATCATCTCATACCAGGGGGGAGTGAAACCAATGTGGAGGACATATCAGGGATCTCCTACCAACTCTCCTCAGACTAAAGAAGCTACTTGGATGAATAGCGAAACGTTTCAATCTACTAAGAAAGAAGTCCAGTTGCCAAGACTCAATATCCAGATACCAAGTTCTGACATGGATAATATGGATGTATTCTGAATTCTGTGGACTTTTGCCTCCTTGATGTGTGAAGAAGCAACTATCCACACAATCTTCACCTCTTCTGCAGCCAAGTGTGGGCTATGTTCTCTGTGTAAATGTTCATTTGTTTCTTCTGGAAAGAAAAACCCACAGAATTGATCAGATTTCCATTCCAGATTTTAAAAACTCACCCAATACTGTACATACTTTCACTAAATAGTGAAGGAAGTTTAAATGTTACTTATGTTGTGCCTCTGAAGGGAGGCAGTTTAACCTTTGCTACTACCCTGCAGGGAAAATCACTGTGATTTTGCATACATTGGGAATGGGGATGGATGAGTTAAAATGTGAGTGGGAGGAGTACACTTCACCTTTCAGACACACTTTATGCTGCAATCCATTTTATATCCACTTAACCCAAGAAGGAATATGTCCCAGTGAACTCAATGGTACTTATTTAGAATAGAGATGTATTGCAACATTTTTTTTTTTACTTTTTCATAAGAAAGTAAGTTTATGTCAAGGGTGGGAAGTCTTCTGAGATAGTAAGGCTTCAGAGATAGTAAGACTCAATGAGCTGGGAGTAAAGATAACTTTTCTGAATAACTTCAAACTTCTTTATATTACAAGAAAGGAAATTCTAACTAAACATTATGGAGAACTTTCTGACAGTAACAGTTGTTTGACAGTGGATTGGACTACCCTGGAATATGGTGAAATCTCCTCTGCCAGCAATTGTTTGGAAAGCCATTTGTCAGGGCGTTAGCTATGGATTCTTGCACTGGCAAAGGTTGGGGCTAGATAATATCTGGGATCCCTTCCAGCTCTACTGTTGAGTGATTTTATGGAAAACCTTCTGGCTGGAGATGGGCATGAACCAGTCTGTTCCAGTTTGTCCCAGTTCATAAAGTTGGCAGAACAGGTACTACTACTCCCCTCCCTGCCTCCTCAGCTGATTCAGCCACTCACCAGGCCCAGCTTACTTGCTTTTTCCACCTCCTCAATTAATCTCCCAGTCAAGAGCGAAAACACAGATTTCTATGCCCTGCTCTTTTGTCTGAGCCAAGAGGATGGGGCAGAGAAGTCTGAGCTATTACTGGGACTTGAAGATCGGTCAAGGAGGTGCAGGAAGCTACCACAATGGGCCTGGTGAGTGGCTGATTGAGTCAGAGGAGGTGGGGGGGAAGAATAGCAGTACCCGTGCTGCCACCTTTACAAACTGGGACAAACTGCGACCAACCGGTTCATGCCCATCTCTACTTCTGACTGCTGAAACGAAGGGTAGAGTTCAGTGTTCAGTGTACTGAATACAGTGGTGCCTCCCAGGACGATTGCTTCGCATGATGACGAATTCGCTTTACGATGAGGTTTTCGGAGCGATCTTGCGCTTCGTTTAATGATGCTTCCTATGGGCGATTTACGCTTAATGATGTTAGGGACCTTGCCTTGCAAGACGGTTAAATTTTAAGTCCCTGTTTTTCACTTTACGATGTTTTTGACAGCTTGGTCTTGCTTCGCTATACATGTCTTTTAATTATCTCTATTTCGTTAGACGGTTGTCTTCGCTTGGGAACCACGTTTCACTTAACGATGTTTGCTATGGCAATTTTCGCTTTACGATGACAATCCGTTCCTATTGGAATGGATTATCAGGTTTTCAATGCATTTCAATGGGAAACCGTGTTTCGCAAGATGATGTTTTCGCTTAACAGCGATTTTCGCGGAACGAATTAACATCGTCTTGTGAGGCACCACTGTATTTGGACAGATCTTAAAAGAAAAGCTAGGAAGGAGATACTTTGTTATCTAAATGTGTGACCACACAGAAATTTGTCGCAGATTAATGTGAATGTCTGTACTGCACTCTGGCGTTTCAGTAAGTGTCACTGTCTAGTCACTCCCTAAGTTATCAATCGACACAGCTGAGGAAGAGATCTTGAAGTAGCCAGTTTTTCCCAGCAGGCTGTCCTTCGACATGTTATGCACCGCTCTCTGCAGTTCAGCACAGGCATGGTTTTCAAGCATTGCAGCAGAACATCTTTATTCAGTACAGGTCACAATGTTGTAACTGTGAAAAAACTCTTGTCTGATGAGCTCTTTGAAAAAATAGTTCATATGGGTCAGAAAAGGGCTATATTTTAGAAGCAATTATCTGCAGTGTTGATTTTGTAGTTCTCAGTATACACACAATTGCCTGAAATTCTGTTGAAAACCAAATTTTATAAGATCATATGATGTGTATCTCTGAACTTTAAAAAAACTAAACCTCTTTTACGACAAAGGTTTCCCTGAAGACCATCAAGTGTTGCTATGAAGGCTTCTGGAAAGTAATCAAATTCAAGTTACTTTTCTTTCCATAGATAGATAATATTTTCCTTTGTAGGAGAAAAGATGTCTCATATTCTGCTTCTTCTAACAAAGGACTAATTATGTTGAAATGTTATCTTAAATTTAAATTCTATTTTTGTATATTTTTCTGAATGCAAAAAGCCTTAGACTATTTTCCCTTTTGTTTATTAAGCCTCTGCCTCCTTGTCATGACTCAAAGGAATCTATGCAGGTGTACAAACAGCATTGCCAAATAGCAGAAGAATACTATGAAGTCAAAAAGGAAATTGCACTGCTTGAAGAAAGAAAGTAAGTAGCCTGTTTTCTCCTGCCTCCCAAATATCAGTTTGTCACATACAAAGGAAAAAAAACTCTATGTAGATTTACAAAAAAAAGTTAATCGAGGATTAATTTTTGCTTTCCAAATAATGTCACTCCCTTCTCCCCCCATACTTATAAAGTGTGTTTCTTATCATTCTTGCATGCTTATTATTTCCTATTTGCTTATAAGCAGCATTTATATCTCATTTTCCTACCAGTGAGTGTGCATGAAAAGTGTACATGGCTCTTTTCCCCATGTTACTGTCAAGACGACCCTATGAGTTAGACTAGGCTGAGAAAGAATGACTGGCCCAAAGCCTCCCAGTGAATTTCATGGACCGGTGCATCATGACCTCTCCCAATTTGAACAGACCCTTGTCCAGCAGGCCGAGGCAAAGAGGAAGCCACAAAAGCAGCAAAATCAGGGAGCTGAACAGGGGACAGATTGGATTTGTCTTCAGTGTGGAAGGGATTGTCACTCTCGAATTGGCCTCCTCAGCCACACTAGACGCTGTTCCAAGTCCTCCATACAGAGCACGTTAGCATAGTCTTTCGGGACCGAAGGATGCCTAATGTAATGTAAAGGAGATTAGAATGTAGATCTCTCAGTCCAGTCACAACATGCTAACCAGACACCCTATGAGCATCCTTGGCTGTGTTGCAAGGCGAGAGGCAGGTGTTCTGTTTTTAGGAATCTGGATAAATGTTTGGATTCTGGGAAGTAAACAGTACATCTGAAAACAGATTAAAACTGAATAGCCACAGAGGTATTCTAAAACAACAACAACAAAAAAGGGAGACATTCATTGGTGATTGTCTTATGACCTTCAGAGTATGGAAAGCTGGAGGGGTCATTAAGAAAATTATTATCCTACAGTATCAAAATTAAAATCATGGTTTGGTTTTAACTTACACTGGCCAAAATCCTATTGTTAAGCATATTGAATCATATTAGAGTACGCATGTTCAATCCATGGAGCTCATGAAGTTGACTCACCAAATCCCCATTGATTCAATTGGCCTACTGTAGCACAGTTTACTAAGCAATAGGATTTTGACCATTATCTGAATAGAATAACTCCTTTAGTTCTAATACATACTAAATTTTTTACTTAAATGCCCCTTGTGCATTAATTATGCTTCCTTTGCTCAATACCCAAATTCTTAGTAAATATCACAAACTTGAGGATACTTGCCATTGATAGGCTGTAGCCTTCTGCATTTGCAAACGTTTGGAATTTGGGCAAAGTCCTGATTTTTCAACCATGTTCTAAATTATACCCAGACAAAAGACCTTTAAATCTATTTCCATTTCTGTTTCCTTAAAAACTGGGATTTCAACTTTGACAATTATATACTGCTGGTATCTTCATAGAGTTCACTTCCATTTTGGATTCTGTAATGGTCCTTTGCTCTGGGCCTGTTTCAGATTGGCCCCTCGTACATAATCAGATTAGAGGATTAAAAAGGACACATACTTGGCAAATATTTGTATGGCTTCAGTATAAATATATTTGAAACAATTACTGCATTTAAACAGAAATTCAACCAGAGCCTGGAAAAGCTATTTCTTTGGACCACAGCCGTCTGACTCCCCAAGCCCACCATAGTGGCAGAGGGACACTGGAACTAATGATTCAAAGAAAGTGATTTCTCCACACCCTGCATCCGATATACTGCACCATGTTGGGGGAAAATGTGACCATGCAATCTCTATGCTCATCAGATAGCAACTGTTGACGGGCAGCTTTGACCCCTGCCACCCCATCTGCGTTCTTATTTGCCCTTAAAGCAAGCCTGGAGTGGACTTCCATTTATCCAGGCAATCCTTCAAACAGGGATATCAACATTGCCCTTCAAGTCACTTCCATTGCAGTTGTCAATGGGTATCCCCCCATTTAAACTCAGGTAATCTAAGAAGCAGGATGGTTTACCTTCCCTGGTTCCCCCCTAATAACCCAGTCTTCGTCCCACTTCTGTCATTTCCTGACTTCTGGAACGCACCAGATTGGGGAAGCTACTCGGACAGCTGGGGGAATGTCAAAAGAGGGTTAAAAAGCTCACTTTTCCTCAGAGCAAAGGAATTTACTCATTGAGAAGAAACAGTTCTCTAATTTAACATTCATAACCTCTGTCTGCTTAGGAATGTCAAATGGAAAGAATGAGAGGTTACATATGGAGAAAGATTGTTTTCTTGGTTTAAAAAGAGTTGCTGTTCACAAATGTTTTGAACTTATTTTGTTGTTTAATGTTTTAGTTATGCATGTCCCTTTTAAAAAATTACATGTTTGCATTTTTCCTGTGGTAAATCTGTCAACATTTATTATGTGTTGTTGTTTTATTATCTGATATACTAACTTACAAAATACAGAACTTGGACTTCTTGCAAAATACAAAGCAGTTATTGCAGAAGTTATTGTGTAAAATACAAGAATATATGTTTAGAATGTTGAACACTATGTTACTGCATGATATAAACAGAATGTTAAACAAGAAAATAGACTGAAAGGAACTTATAGAACTTTTGAAAATGGGATTTATTAGTTTAAAAAAATGGTTCTTGACTTAAAATGTATTTTTCATGTCATAAAAGTTACGACTTTATAATAGTTAGTTTATCTTAAACTGCCTTTGCAAATCAGCAAACTGCCATGCCCAGTTGAATATTTCAGAATAAGTGTATTCAGCAAAATTACATCTTAATGAAATTTTGGTCCTTTTCATTCTCTGTGAGCATAATGTAAAGTAATTTTGATTGAAGGATTTATGGTTACAGTGTGCTATCCCATGCATTGTCATATTACATATAACAATGTAGTATAATTTAAGGAGTTAGATTATTGCACCTCCAGAAGTTAAAGAAAATTATCTTTACATTTCAGATGATTTCAGCTGAGGTAACAGGAACCTCTTTACATAAAACATTTATATGTCAGGGTGGGAAACCTTTTCACTTCTGAAAGCTTTACATGGCAATGGGTTGTGGGCCATGGACTGGACACCTAGCCATTCTTCCACATAGCCACTCATGTACGCTCAAATAGATGCAGCCATTTTACAGAAAAGCTAAAGTCACACAAGCTTCATTTATTTTCCCCACACCAATTTAAGTTGAAGAGAGAAGGTGATGTGGTGGGATCATTGAAGCCTTCTTATTTTCTTTTCCTAAATAACCACAACTACATATCATGCTATCATATAATGTAGGCAAGCAGGGGTATTTGGTATAACTTTTTGGTCTAAATTATGTTAACCCAGAAACCTGCTCCCCACACCTGGAACTCTTATCCAAGAGTTGCATGAGGAGATAATCCTAAGGGATAAACATTTGTCACGGGAGATTCCACAGTCTCTTAAGAAGGAAGCTAAATATCAGAAGCATTTGTTTAACCACAAACAGCAGCCTGTCTGCTGGTGACAGTGACGGATTACACCTTTGAATGGGAAGACAGCAGAGAAGTATTTTACTAGCTGAGATTTGGCAGCTTGAGTTTCAGACCAGTTGCGTCATTTCTTTCATTTGTTACTGATGAGGGATAGAACCTACTGTCACAGTACTCCCAGCAACAAACAACTGAATTTCTTTTTGGTGATCATAATTAAAGTTCACAAAGGTGTGCATTTGGTTACTGCTTTTCTTACATCAGGTAAGGCGAATGTTTTGTTTTCATATGGAACTATGTATCTGTTTAGAGTCTTCTCAAGATGTGCAATCTTTGTTTTCCTTATTCATCTTGTTTTCTCCATCTCTTGCACTGTCCAAGGATATGTTCATAACCTAATTAAAATTACACCATGCTTTATCACTGATCAACAGCGCATGAAGCAGCTACTATTACTGTGAAGCATGACAGTGTAGGACCTGAGTGGTCACTCTGCAGCAATTCTTGTTATGTCAAGTATTTCGATAGCAGGCACTTATGTACAGCTGGCTCAAAGCATACAGCACCGTGTTCTTTCATTAGAGTTCATGCAAGCACAGCCCTAGATGTATAACTTTCTTTTCTTTTCTTTAATTAACATTTTATTAATTTTTCAATATATCTACATTCAATTCGTGCTTGTTAAACATCATGTTACATGGGTTGCTTGTAATTATTTGTTTCTGCATCTTAGTGTCTTCTTAGCTTTCCCTTCAAAATCTATACATTTTTAAAGCATTTGAACCAATCATACATGTATTTTCGTTTACAATATTGGCTACTATCATAATATTGCTCTAATAGTATACAATGTTCTCAAAATCCTCTAATAAAATACCTAATAAAAGCAATTCTAGTTTCAAATTTATATAATTTTGGTGCAATTTGACTGACTTTTTACTTTATACCAATAATAACGAAATAGATTCCTAACACATAGTAAATGTTATCTAAAGCTTAAAGCATATATATTTTCTTTATATAATAGTTTAGCCATTTCTATCTCCACGTTTTCTGTCATATCTATATCAATATCATATCTAATACATGTTAATGTGAGTTTTGATCATTATCTGTGACGCCAGATATTGTGGACAAGGCGCTAGCTTGCTGTCGAGCCATTACCCCGCCTATCTGGACTACCAGTCCATCTGTGATGCCAGATATTGTGGACAAGGCGCTAGCTCGCTGTCGAGCCATCGCCTGCTCTCTTGACCCTTGCCCGGCCTGGCTAATCAAAGCAGCCAGGCACACAACAAATGAATGGGCCACAGCGATAATTAATGGGTCTTTCTGGGAGGGCAAGGAGCGTCTCAAGGAGATGTCACATTGCACCCATCTGCTGGACATTTCCTAGGATAGAATATGATTGATGGGAAGATATTTCATAGAATCATAGAATAGTGAAGTCAGAAGGGGCCTCGTAAGGCCACTGAGTCCAACCCTCTGCTCGATGCACGAATACAACTCAAAGGATATCTAGGTGGTTGTCTAAGTTTCTCTTAGCACTCACCAACTCTCAAGGTAATTGGTAATTTCTAAGCCAGTGGTGTCTTACCCGGGAAAGATTGCAGGACATATTAGTAATGGTGAGCTGGTAGTTGTGAAGCCACTTGCACTTGTGTAAATATGCTAACCTCTAGTCCAACTCATTTGAAATATGTCAGGTTCAGGAAGATTGTACTGGGGAGTGGTTGCTTCTTTTGAGAAAATCATGCCTTTGCCATTGGGAAAGGTACAATTAATTACAAAGATGGAACTTTCTCGGGACCAGGGGAGGTAACTTTCTGGCTTCAGGGGACCACATTGGTTAGAATACAACAAACACTAACTAGATCACAAGAAACATACATTTCTTGTGATGTATGTTTTTGAGTCCCCAGGTATTTTTGGATTAAAGCTCACAGAAGCATTCACCACTAGCTGTGCTGGCCAGGATTTCGAGGAGTTGCAGTCTGATAACATCTGGGGACCCAAGGTTAGGAACCACTGTGGTACACATTCTGGGGGTAAAAACTTTGTTTTATTTTATATTTATCATATTTATGTTTTTAAGAGATAACAGGTGTTTATGAACATGATATAGACAAGATGTAACACAGACACTTCACAATGAGCCAAACAATATCATATTTGCATTTTAGATTTAGTTTACCATTGTACTGGCTTAGTGTATGAAGCAGTGGGTGTTCATTTGTCCTATACAGTATCCCCATTTTTATTCTTAGCATTATCCAATTTTCCTGTTTCATGGGTTCCCTTGCCTTTGTGTGTGTTGCTTGCATTTGGACACATCTGATTCTTTGTGTTTTTGACCCCATCCCCCAAATGATATTGTTGATTAGATTAAAAATTCCATAGGTCAGAGAACAGCACTGTTCATGGTTCTCTGGATCAAAAGTAAAGTACCTGTGTTTTCCTTTAGTATTGTCCTGAATCTTCTGAACACAGTATGTTTAAATCTTCACTTTGTTTTCCTTTTACAGAAAGGAACTGATACTGAGGTTAGATCAAGTGGAGAAAGAAAGCATGGATGCTGCCCAACTAACAAAGGAGTATGCAGAACTGACAGAAGAGAACCGGACATTGAAGCTAGCCCAAACGCAATGCGTTGAACAGCTGGAGAAGCTTAGAATACAGTATCAAAAGAGACTGGGATCATCATAATTTTGAATGAGCCTGTCTGGGCCAATAAAAATCCAGGGTCTTTTTCTATGTTGGGCAAGTGTATTTTTTCTTCCACCCCTTCAAAGGTTCTCTCTAATACTTCACTTGCAGAATATGCCAATGTTTAAATTTGGTTTAATGCTTAGCAACTCTTAGGATAATATGGATATTGTGTTTATTATATTATGGATATTTTAATTCAGGTAATGCAGTTAGAGATTTGTCTGTTCCCATTACGTGTTCAGATGATGAAACAGATTTCTTATCTAAACGTATTCATTAACTGTCCTGAAAAGATTCAAGCACATTAGAAGCTAGTATGAATAGTCTTGTGTTTTGAAAGTGGACCATATAAAAGCATATAGTAGGAGCAGCATAAATACAGGAAATACTGCAACACGCCCCATTCTTTTCTAAATCTGAACTAGTTTCAAAGCAAATTGCTCCACTTCTCTAGCAATATATGCCCAGGAGATATCAAACCACTGAAGCACCTGAATCACTTTTTTGAAGTAACAGTGGCTGTACAGACTTTACTTGAAAGAGTCCTATTGTGTGCCTGCACACACCCGTGTAGAATTGCACTATAAATTGGCTATTGTGATTGTGCAACAATAATATAAGGCAGTACAGCCAATGGTGAAGGCTTCTGGGAGTTGTAGTCCTGGGTTACCCAAGGCTGAAAACCATCGATATAGGGTGAAGGCTTCTGGGAGTTGCAGTCCTGGGTTACCCAAGGCTGAGAACCATCGATATAGGAGAAGAGGAATCTTTCCTCTTGGAAATAAGCCTTGTTGATTGTAATGGCAACTAATTGAAAATGAACTTGTTTAGAATTATAGCCTGGCATAGTAATCCTTTTAATCATTCAATAGCATAAGTTCTTTCTCAGTATAAGTGTGCTCAGAATTGGGAGTTGCAGTCCTGGGTTACCCAAGGCTGAGAACCATCGATATAGGAGAAGAGGAATCTTTCCTCTTGGAAATAAGCCTTGTTGATTGTAATGGCAACTAATTGAAAATGAACTTGTTTAGAATTATAGCCTGGCATAGTAATCCTTTTAATCATTCAATAGCATAAGTTCTTTCTCAGTATAAGTGTGCTCAGAATCAAAATGTTAAGATACAACTCAAAACAGAGATGAAATCATGCAGTATAAGTGTGCTCAGAATCAAAATGTTAGATGCAACTCAAAACAAACTGAGTTGAAATCATGGCCCTTCCTGGACATGATTAGTTAGTGTGTGCAGACTTATATGTGCAATTTCATGCAGTAAGCTTGCTATGAGAATGCTATTACTATGGAGATACTAGCTTTTCACATAGGATCTCAGCTATGATTTTTTAAGTGAATAGCTGCTATATTGTATATTGTATGAACATCAGAGAGCTGATCTCTGTTCTCCCAGCTGGCTTGGTGCATGGTATGCTGGCTGAAGATTGTACACTCCGACTAGAAAATGTTTCTTGCAATTGTTGTGAGAATCAGCCTCTATTACTAACAAAATTTATGTTCAGGCCAATCTGGATGAGTTTAGATAAGATTTGTGACCAGATTTCTGGCAGTTACCTTTATTTCTTAGATGTATTCTCAGTGCCCCTGAAATTTTTATGGTGCTGGGGAAGGCATGGGTTTAACCACATTTAAACTTGTTGCGCCTTACACTATAACCTGGTTCTGCTGGAGTATACATACCCCAGTAGTTGAAATTTTACAAGTGCTCAAATCTGACAGTAGTTTTCCTAATGGGGCAAACAACTGTTTCATGTGTTTACCCTTCTAAATTTCCTGATTTAGGAAAACTGAATAATGAAAGACTGAAATACCCTCTCTAATTTTTCACCCCAATTCTTTAAGGGGAAAAAAGATCAAATTTTATGAAATGCTGTTGCAGATCCTAGTTTCCCTGCCAGTTTGGTGAAAAATCTGCTAATATTAATCACTGGGGCTTGTGCAGGGTACCTTTTTAATCTTCAGTAGGATGGACAAGGTGTGTGTGTGTGCATGTGTGTGCACGCGCACATGCACACGTGTTGAAAGGGAGAATATTCACAGCATGATCTAAAATCTTGTTCTTTGGCTGTGTTTAATATTAAATTGCCTCTATGCAGCATATATGAAGGCTCGTGTGTGTGTGTCTGTGTACATTTACATGTAGTATTCTGGGGTATAGGAGTTCCTTGGCAATTATATGTATCCGCATCACAGCAACTTGGTTTTATGTCAAATGTAAGTTCTGAGCACAAATAACTTTTAAATTTCCCTGATGTCAGCAAGGCTTATTTCTACATATCAGAGATTAAGTGATCAGAGGTAGAGATGGGCACAGAGTGCTACAAAGTGCACTTCTTACAAAGCACTTTGTAGGAAGCTGGCCTGTCTCCCACCCCCTGGCCAGCTGGGCCACTCACCCTGCTTCATGCACTGCTGAGGCCCTTCCTCTCTGGTGGTACTCCAATCTGGGCAGGAGCTTAGCCGGTCCATCCCCGCTTCCTGAGATAGATGCGGTCCATCCCCGCTTCCTGAGATAGATGACCACTCCAATGAGGAGGCAGGATGGGGATTCTTCTTGTGCAGCCAATGAGTGGTCAGCTGCTGGAGGAGGTGGGGCCAGGACAGGTGAGCTCCTGCCTGAATTAGAGCATTGCCAGAGAAGAAGGGCGTGTGAAGCAGGGTGAGTGGCCTGTCCAGCTGGGAGTTTGGGAAATGGATCAGCATGGCACCTATGGTGCCGTGCTAACAGCTTTCTACGAAGCACTTTGTTGTGCTTTGTGCCCATCTCTAATCAGAGGTGTTACAATTGTTAAAAGGACAAAAGATTTATACAATCTGAAGAGAAACCATGAAATGGTTCATGCAAGAAATTGAAAAATAATACTAGAGTAGTAAATAATTAAGATAATATGACTGTCAGCTGAAATTCCACTTCTAAATACAATCCTTCAACATGACTTTTGTATCGGGATTTCTTTTAGGGTAGTGAATTTAAGGTTGTTTTGATGTATGAATAGGAGAGTGCTACCTATATCCATATTTTAATGAATCTCCTAGGAGAAACAGCTGAGCAAAAAAGACTAAGAACAATCATGCTGTGTTTCCCCCCTTTGTCCACTTTGTTTTCCTGAATCAGTCGACAATTCTTTGTTATACTTCCATTTCTATCACACGGTATTTTTTTCATTAAAAGATAATTTAAAAAGTAGTTCTGTTCCTGAATTTCTTTTATCTACTTAAAACTTTAGACTGCTGTTAATGGCTCTAAGCTGGCTTAAATGCATAATTCAATTAAGGCTGTAACAAAGAATTTTCTTTTGTTCTTGGAGCAACATGGGCCCCAATATGAAGTCCTTCTTGAAATCAGTGGAATATTCAGTGTGATTTACTTGAATCCCACTGAACTTTTTTTTGTGTGTTTCAGATGTTTTGGATTAAATTATCCCATACTAGTCACCACCATTATTGGAGGGGGCTGATGGAAGTTGTAGGTGGAATTCTTTGTCCTTCAATTGCAGCTTACGTCAAAACAGCCTTTTACATAATGTGGTGCTAATATTCTTAACATAATCCAAACTACATTTTATGAAGTAAATAATATTTTTTAAAAATCCTTAGTAGATGGTTGTTGTAGGTTTTTCAGACTGTTTGGCCGTGTTCTGGAGTTTTTCTTCCTAATGTTTTGTCAGTCTCTGTAGGTAGCATCTTCAGAGGACAGGAGCTAGAACTCTGCCTAGAGTTCTAACAGAGTTCTAACTCCTGTCCTCTAAAGATGCCGGCTACAGAGACTGGTGAAACGTTAGGAAGAAAATCCTCCAGAATACGGCCAAACACCCCGAAAAACCTACAATAGCCATCGGATCCTGGCCGTGAAAGCCTTTGGGAATACCTTAGTAGATGGTTTTATGCAAAACCAAATTCCATGTTTTCATATTTTTCTCTCTGTTTTATTGGTGGAGTTTTTCCCTCTTTTCTTCTTGGTTTTTTTTTTACTGAACTAATCATTGGGCTTCATTGTACCTGTCAATAAATTTCTCAGCTACTTCTCATCCCACAAACCAGTTTTGCATGTGCTATCAAAGGTGTTTATGGAGTACAAAGATATACAGCTACACAAGTTCAGTAATCCTAATGAGAAAATAAATATCTTATATATTCCCATAATTCTACAAAAAGGAAACCAGTATATACAAGAAGGGCTTGCCCAGTTGACAGTATTCCTATATATACTACAAAATGATAATTTGATTTATAACCACTATCATGATTTCTTCTAATTAAGAGCTGGAAATTATGGATCTGGTTTAGTTGTAAGAAATGTCTATTATATATCTCCCCCTCTGAACAGTGACTACATCTGCTTATGATACCAATGTTATTAACTGAGCAGTGATAAGTGAGGTAAATTACAACCAGTTTGAGAAGACTTATTATCATCATAGTAAAAAACATTATCCTTCTCCTCCTCATTACTCAAGGAGAGGGCTTGAAACAACTTCTAGGATTTATATGAGCTATAAATATTGTTCAAATTAGGTATATTTCATAGAGTTTTAAAAATATGCTGTCTTACTACACAGTGCAGAGCATTTGTCCTTGAAAATGCTGCTAAAAATGAGTTTTGGGCTCCATCCAGTGTTACCTTTTATTACTCAAGCTTTGAAAATACATGTTGGGAAGTGGCCAGAAAATGACTGTAACACTTCTATTTCTGAAATGAGAATGGATCTATCTTGGGTGTATATACCGCACATATAGGCTTGGACACCAAAACAGGTTACCTTAAAAAGATCCACAAAGGAAATGTTGACCTCCTTTTCCTCCAACAGCCAGCCCTCTCAGAATCCTTTTTAAGTATTCAGGAGGGACCTCCTGAACTCTGTGTGAGTTGGAAAGCAAAGAAGGATGAAAGTTTTGCTACTCTTCCAAGTAGCTTCTTCAGTCTGAGGAGAGTTGGTAGGAGACCCCTGATATATCCTCCATAGTATTTTGACTCCCCCCGATTGGAACAGGTGATTTGATTCTCATCAGCCATTGCAACACAAACAAGGGGTCATAAGGAAGTTAAACCATAGAGCAAGAAACATGCCCACCTCCACAGAAGACAAGAAGAAGGAAGACAAACATGTTCTCATTTTGGACCTAGAACAGTGGTTCTTAACCTTAGGTTACTCAGGTGTTTTTGGACTGCAACTCCCAGAAGCCTTCACCACCAACTGTGCTGGCTGGGATTTCTGGGAGTTGCAGTTCAAAAACACCTGAGTAACCCAAGGTTAAGAACTACTGATAGAAGACAAGTGGTTTGAGACAGGGGTGAAGAAGCCTTAGGTACAATCTGTCTCCATACCCCAGTAGTTGAAATTTTACAAGTGCTCAAATCTGACAGTAGTTTTCCTAATGGGGCAAACAACTGTTTCATGTGTTTACCCTTCTAAATTTCCTGATTTAGGAAAACTGAATAATGAAAGACTGAAATACCCTCTCTAATTTTTCACCCCAATTCTTTAAGGGGAAAAAAGATCAAATTTTATGAAATGCTGTTGCAGATTCTAGTTTCCCTGCCAGGGGAAAAATCTGCTAATATTAATCACTGGGGCTTGTGCAGGGTACCTTTTTAATCTTCTGTAGGATGGACAAGGTGCGTGTGTCTGTGTCTGTGTCTGTGTCTCTCTGTGTGTGTGTGTGTGTCTGTGTGTGTC